GGGAGAAGTGAATTTTTAATTACCGGGAGTCACTGTGCGCCGCAAAACAATTATTTTTCTTACTGCGCTGTTATTTCCATGACAGTTTCTTCCATTTTTCACAGAGATTAAGGGATGAAAGAGGGTCAGTTGGTGGGGAATTTAATTCTCCATTGAACTACTCTTTTTTCATCCCTCAATCTCAATTAGGAGGGGAGAAGTGAATTTTTAATTCCACAGCGTATGGTGGAAAGTCACTGTGCGCCGAGAAGAAAATTATTTTTCTCACTGGCCCATGACTTTGTCGTAGTTTGTATTTTTTTGTTACAGAGATTAAGGGATGCAACGGGGATCGATTGATGGGGAATTTAATTCTCCGTCACACCCTCTGTGTTTCATTCCTTAATATTAATTAGCCAGCAAATGAATCACCTGAAAAACATTAAGAACATGCTGAGGGCGAGGAGGACATAAATTCCCCTCCAAAACTATCCCTGTGACAGCGGGACTGCTACTGCCGAGTTACCTGCACAGGCAGTTCGCCCAGCCGTCAGATTCGACCGTGGCGGCATCCCTCCGTTGGGGTCGAACTACTTTTGGCTTGGGGTCAGTCCAACCCCGAGATCTGAGCCTCTACTTTAGTCAATCCTCTTTGGCTCCAAGTGTCAGTTCAGTAAAATAGTCAATATCAGTCAATATGGTTTCGAAAGAGAATAATCTCCCGAGTTTATACGTCGAATTGAATAAATTCGGACGTCATGGTGAATACGAAAGAGCGTTAAAAGTCGCTAATAGAAGTAAGTAAATTCTCCCCCCATTACAAAACAATTGTCGTCATGTATGAGTTAATGAATACATGAGAAAGTTGTCGACAATATGGCTAAGGTATACCTAACCACATTTGGGAGCAATTCTTCGATTAAAAAGATAAGAATAAGAGGGCTGAGAAAATTTCTCATGATAATATCAATTTTTTGTTCGTTTTATAGTTTTGGGAATATTTCAAGATGAAGATGCAGCGATTCACTGCAAAGTTATTTGCCTTATACAATTATCAAAGTTCAATGATGCGCTTCAATTAATTGCGAAAAATCCAAAAATCTCCATGTAAGTATTCGAATTATATGAAATAATTGATGGAGTGGTACAACGTAATAAATTGATTTTTCATGTTTTCTAAATGTCAATATCTCTTTCAACGGGTGGATTTATTATATGACGTTTATCAAATTCTTCAATTACAAAAAAATCTTTCAGTATTTTTCTCTTTAGTAATTATTTGTTAAGATAATTAGATGACTTATAAGACAATCATATTCGAGTGGTTACATTTTCTTTTTCTCTAAAAGATTTCTATAGTTTTTCAAAATGATGAACTAATGAATGACTTATTATCTTGATTAGTCATTTGGAGTTTGAAAAAGCTTACTGCCTATATCGTCTGAATCAAGTGGCCGAGTCTCTCAAAGTTGTCTCAAATATCCAAAATCCATGTCTAAAAATCAAGGAACTCAAGGCTCAGATCCTTTATCGTCTCGAGAAATATGAGGATTGCTTCTCGGTCTATCGAGACATAATAAAGAACTCCAGTGATGATTATGAGGATGAGAGGGAGACAAATTTAGCGGCAGTACTGGTAAATCTCACCGCAGAAGGCTCTGTAAGTTTTTTTCATATTCATTAAGAAATTTCCTCGTTTTCCACGTTATTCTCACACAAAGTAAAACTGTTAAATCGAAATATTGATAACTTATTTTTCGTGAGAAGGCCCGGTAAACCGCGATTCTAACCTCGCTTCGCTCGGTTAGATCGCGGTTTACGGGCCTTCTGACGAAAAATTGCATTCATCACACGGTCCAAAAGTATTTTCTGACGAATGTGATTATAGGCCTCGCCTTCGACTCGGCCTACAAAGGCACATTCGTCAGAAAATACTTTGTGGACCTTGTGATGAAAATAACTATTGTGAACCCGAAAATGAGCAACTATGGGCAATATATTTAATTGTTTTATTCTCTTTTGGGTTATTTTTTAATTTTCTCATTTCACCTGCAAATAACGTAGAATAGTAAAATGGGAAAATGTAAAATATGAAGTTTGCCGACCATGTGTGTATGTGCACCTCTCGGCCTGGTGGTCATCTTTTAGAAAATTGGTGAATTAAACGACTGAAATAAGTCCAAAAAATCTCAAATCTTGTCAGATTATAGGTATCAATGAAGACTGACTTGTGTTTGATTTCAGCCCAATCGATTCACCCATTTTGGAGAAATCATCATTTGTTTTCAAATTGTTATTCGCAACTATCTCGAAAACTATTCAACCGATTTTAATATTTTCAACATATTGGCTTCGATGTCTTTTACCTCAATCAATCGAAACATGCATACCCGTTCGTGAAAAATTTCAAAGATATTTCTGTTTTTTGTTTTTTGGTTCAAAATGATTGTTTGCACTCCAACTTTTGAAAAAAACGACATATTAACTTAACGTTTGGCATGAAGTTTCCTCTCAACACTCTAAATAATTGTTATTGAAGATGCGCTGAATCGGATAGTTAGTGTAGGAAATATTCAACTTCGTATCAAAATCTAGGTTCTCGAATATCTCAAAAACTGTTCAACCGATTTTATTTAGCTCATAAGAATTGATCAAATAGCCAAAACGGGACCATTTGGAAGCCTTCCATCAATTTATTGATGGCAGAAACCGATAAATACACTTCTAATTTTTTTCTTATAATATAATATCGTGTGTATTCAAAAATTAATCAAGGATTTGAGATTAATACCTTTCTTTGTCATATCTAAAAAATTTAAATTTGTTTAAAGAGATATTAACATTTCCTATGTATCTCCCATAAGATCGCCTGTGATTTTGTGATTGAATTCTCTCGTAACCCACCTTTCGTAATAGTTTAAAAGGCGATGTTGGTCGAAAAACCTCCATTTTCTATGGATTAAAAGATATATCTTCCACTGTATCAATTTTCAATTCAAATTCAATTAGCCCTTGCACCTGAATTCCTAATCAATCAGAGGAAAATTTAACCCACATCGCCAGATATATGTACTAACATGAAATTAATAAAGCCAATGACCTATCATTATCCTAATAGATTTTTCAATTCAACTCAACAGAGCATCGATATCCCCGAACTTCGAGACCACACGTACGAGCTCACCTACAACGCAGCATGTCGTCTGGTCGCCAAGGGAGTTCAAGGGGATCGTTCAAACCTGATTGAAGCTGAAAAGAAGCTTCGTCTGGCTGAGAACATGTGCAAAGAAGCCCTAGAAGAGGACGGTGCCACCGAAGAAGAAATCGAAGATGAACTCGGAATAATCAGAGTCCAATTGGGCTATTGTCTCCAGCTCCAAGGACGTGAGAAGGAAGCCCAAGCCCTTTACTCCAACGCTTTGAAAGCAAAACCCGATGACATAGCTCTCGTAGCAGTTGCGAGCAACAATTTAGTAACTCTGAACAAGGACCAGAACGTTTTCGACAGTAAAAAACGTATGAAATCGGCGACCCATGAAGGTCTGGAGCACAAGCTGATATCTTGCCAGCGTCGCAGCGTCGCCTACAATCAATGTCTCCTCGCTCTGTACACGAACCAAGGAGACCACTGCCAACAACTCTGCAAGAAACTCATCAAGGACCACCCTGAGATGTCAGCGGAAGCGACATTTGTCCGGGCAGTTCAACTGAGTAAAGAGGGCAAGGTAAAAGAAGCTGTGACGATTCTCCTGAAACAATCCAGCAACAAAGATCTATCAATGAAACTAGCATGTGTTCAATTACTTCTATCTCATGGAGACCGGAAAGAAGCGATCGAAATATTGGAGAATTTGAATCCTAATCATAAAGCACTTCCAGGTAATATGCCAAAAATATCTGTTTCCATTTTATTTTTAACAACCATTTTTGCAATATCATGTAAGAACTTGCAACTGGCCACCGACCGAGGGCCTTTAGCCAAGCATTCTCATTTGATATTTATAAGGAATGGTTACCTACAGAAAAAAGAAGTGAATATATCGTAGATACTTACATAGTGATGGTAGAAAAGATGATAGGCATGAATTTTACAATACTGCTTTAAAACAATTGGAATTTCAAGAGTGACAATGAATTCCATGTATATGATTAAAAGTTTATAATCTGTTAAGTTCTATGTAAAGTGCGTGTGAATTCATAAATGTCAAGTAACTCGTTTAGATCTCGATTGAATCTGAATATTCAGTACCGAAATGAACTGAATGTTCAAGTAATTTTAAATTCATGGATACATTCACCTAAATTTTTCCAATTTTAGCAATTCTCCATTAAATGATTTCATTCATCTAAAATTTACAGTTTTCATTGATTTTCTCATAATTTAATGAAGAAATCTATATGATTTTTTAAAGCCAAAAGCCTCTGGATTTTGAATGAAGATTCAGAACAAAAATCCTGACAAAAATTCCTAACCGTGAAAACTAGACTTGTAATGAGAATCGAACTTTTCATTAGAAAGTTTATAGGAATTTTGGATTACTGCAGAAGAGGCTGGAACGTCAGATGAAAATCTTTCCAGAATCCTTCATGAACCTTTTCTTTATTGTAAATTCCATTTCCTATAAGGTATCTTCGAATTCTCTGCAATGGAATCCTACTATATTATATACCGTTTCTAATCAGACATGGTTGAACTATTAGAGAAATAGACTCAATTCATTTTACTACTGATTAAATAGTGAATCATTTAAATCTTATACTGACCACATCCTCTACGAACAATGTAATTCTCAATACCGTTATTCCGACAGGTATTGTCAGTGCCTTGGTGACACTTCATATGGCTGAGAACAATCGAGAAAAGGCCTCGGCAGTTCTGAAAGAAGCGGTTAGTCATTACAAATCAAATAAGGAGAACACTGGAAACCTCGGAATGCTATGGAGACAGGCAGCGAACTTCCACCTTCGAGGAGGTGAAGTCAAAGTTGCTGCCGCAAGTTTAGAATCTCTCTTGGAAGCTTCTCCATTGGACACCAAGACGCTGGCGCAGTTGGTGGTCGCTTACGCTCAATTCTCTCCAGCGAAAGCTCAAGCTTTATCGAAACAATTACCTCCACTGGACCATCTTGCTGAGGCGATCGATGTCGACGCGTTGGAAACTAGTAATTGGGTCATTGGGATGAAGGTAGTCAAGAAAAAGGTGGAACCTTCTCCAGGAAAAATCGGAACTGGGACGAGTGGAGAGAGGGAAAGGAAGAAGAATAAGAGGAAACGTAAGGGGAATTTGCCGAAGAACTATGATGCCAGTAGTGCACCGGATCCTGAGAGGTGGTTGCCCAGACATGAGAGAAGTGGCTTCAGGAAGAAGAGGGACCGGCGGAATAGGGATGCTACGATGAAAGGGACACAAGGGGCTGCTGCTGGTGGTAGTGATCTTTATGATATTACGAAGATGCCAGTGAATGCTAAACCTTCGCCGAATCCCCGACAGAGCCCGGCTGTGGAGAGCTCTGGGCCCAGGCAGCAGCAGAGGAAGGTCCAACAGAAAAAGAAGAAAAAAGGGGGGAAATGGTAAAGGGTTGACGCAGAAAATGGAGGTAATCAAGACGGAGGGGAGTACAGGGATTAATTTCGAGAATGATTGCTTTTAAGAGACAATGTCTTTTGCAGAAAATTTCCTCAACTACAAAACAAGACATTCAGTCCTGAAGCACTCACTAGGAAGATAATTATATGTGCAGTCGAGCTCCCCACGGCTTAAGGATATCCAAGTATTTCGTTCAAATTGGCAACTTTTTTTCTAGCAAGATTTCAGTTTTGTCGAAAATCTTGCTGTCCCCATACTTTTTCGGATTTTTCATTGCTGAATACATTTTTTCGGGAATTTCTTCAATGAATATTGCGAACAATATTTTATTCAATTTCACACTTGACTCTCGTCGGTCTAACCTCTAATGATCATACGGCAACACTGCACATGTGTTCCATATAACCAGGGTTGGGCAAGTAAAATACCACCGGTATTTTACCAAGTTTTCTACATGTAAAAAAACCAGTAATTTACCAAGGTTTTAGAACAATTGTTCTGGCGCGAGAATAACCCCATTGATAGGGTTGCAAGGGTCAAACATCGCAATGGTTATACCTCGCGAAGATCAAGCATGCAAGGGTTATACCTCACGAGGGTCAAATATGGTAATGGTTAAACAACAGAGGTAAGCAGAGGACATTCCCAAAGGTCAAACGACAACATGCGTTAACCGGGAAGACAGGAAAGACAATCACAATGGTCCAACGATTATGAGACTCAAACCAAAGGAGCAGGAGGTAAAATCCTCAAGGATCTAACGGGAGACATGATCCTCGCGAGGTATAACCCTTGCGATCTCTAAACCTTGCAACGTTGGCTCCTTGTGAGGTATAACCGTTGCGACATTTGACCCCCACGAGGCAGGAAACTTGCGAGATATGACCTGTGCCACATTTGACCCTCCCGAGGCATGATCTTTGCAAAATATGACCCTCATGGCGTTTGATGCTTGCTAAGTATGACCCTCGTGATATTTGACTCTTGCAAGATATGGCCCTCGTGACGATTAACCCTCGCAAGGTATAATCCCTCGTGAAATTCAGTCGCGAGGGTTACTGTTATTTACTTTTTCTACCATTTAGAGGTAAATTACCAGTATTCTACTATGTACTGTAGGAAACTCCGATTTTTAGTGAACGACCCAACCCTGCATATAACCTCGTAAATTCGATCCGAGTAGTCACTTGCGCAGACCGTTGCCAGACGTCAGGAACGCGCGGATTCAAACCACCTAATATGGACGTGTACCAATCAAGAAGCTTTTAATTTGATTGTTTGCAATTATCTGTCCAGAAACTTATGTTTTTTAATATCGCAAAAAAAACTAGGGAGTATAACGAATAAAGCCATATACGGTTATGTGTATGAGAAAACGCTTGAAAACTATGAACTATTGGATTGAAGGTGGGAGCATACAGCTCTTATGGACGCAATGTGTTAAATTTCATTCTTTCAAAAATCGTTTTCTCGAAAATATGTTCGGAAACTAAAGTTTATACTGTGCCTAAAAAATACTCTTGGTCTAGTCTATAAACTCGGAAGGGGATTTCCCCCAGAAAAAATTGCCTGAACTACTTGGATATCCTTAGGTGCTTGGGACCGAGCCAATTTTGGAGGCTCCTCTTGGCTTAAGTCTTCTCCCACTCCTAACTCATGAATGAGACGCTTGCGCAATATCAGAAAATCGGCTGCGCAGTGGGCTGCGTAACGATCTGACATTAGTCTGTCAATTGGGGGCCTATTCTCGAAATATTTTCGTGCGTGGAATCGACTCCGTTGACGGAACGCCTATATGATTCCTATACGCAATTCGTCTACGAAGCCACTTCCGTGCACGGAACTATTTCGAGAATAGGCCCCCTGAAGTCTGCGCATGACTTGGCCATGTAGTGGGGACATAGAAGACGAGGGAAACTTAAGCTTGCGGAGTCACAATGCGTAAGCCATGAGATGAATTTAGCGGTGGGAGCTTAAGGGGTTTCCTCAGTAGCGCAAAACGGGGATAGGCGCGCGAATGAGTGAAGCGTAAAATGGTTAAGTTAGTGAGGTTATTTTCGAGAGAGACGAAACATCAAACATGGCGTGCGTTGGATAGTGACAGACCTGACGCCAGTTTTTTTTATCGTTAATTTATTCAACAAATTACTGGCAAAACTCGATGAGACTNAGTCTGCGCATGACTTGGCCATGTAGTGGGGACATAGAAGACGAGGGAAACTTAAGCTTGCGGAGTCACAATGCGTAAGCCATGAGATGAATTTAGCGGTGGGAGCTTAAGGGGTTTCCTCAGTAGCGCAAAACGGGGATAGGCGCGCGAATGAGTGAAGCGTAAAATGGTTAAGTTAGTGAGGTTATTTTCGAGAGAGACGAAACATCAAACATGGCGTGCGTTGGATAGTGACAGACCTGACGCCAGTTTTTTTTATCGTTAATTTATTCAACAAATTACTGGCAAAACTCGATGAGACTTCATTCCCTTATTTTTGAGAATTTAATATAAATTAATATAGCTTCCTTTGTTGGCTAGCACATTGTCAACAGGGTGAAGGGTAAGGGACAAAATTTCGTTCTTAAAGCCAATGTATAAGCAGAAATTCGAATGATTAATTGAAAACGAATGAAACGATAAAACTACTCAGAGTTTTTTTACAATTTTCCTTTTACCATTTTTGATTATTATATTACATATTCAATTCGCTAGCACATTGTCGTTTTGTGGCGAAAATTACTGAGGAGACCCCTTAAGCCGTGGGGAGCTCGACTGTAGTATGGTTATAAAAACGAGTCTTGACATTTAGTCTTGAAAATCCATCGTTTCCAAGATAAATTTATAATTGTGAAAGATTTCGAGTTCAACTTGAACTGTTTAAACACTTATAAATCTACTTTATTATTTTTTCCGTTGCATTTAAGAATTTACTGAAGTGTTCTATTGGTACAATATTGAGGTAGAAATAAATTGCGACGCATCTACAGTACATAAAATATGTTTATTGCTTCATTAACTTTTTCTCCATCTCCCACTCTTGTTACCTAATTAACGTCAATTATAACATTGTTTTTCGTCTCATTATGACTAGGTACTGGAGAATATATATTTCTTTATTTCACTAATTAATCATTTCTTCTGAAAATTCTCTGTGTAACAATTTTTATTACACAAAAATATCATGGGTATTTGTCTTTTGCGGTTCAACGAAGGACATGTATAATTCCTGATTGTGCGTTATGAATTTAAAAAATTTACACAAATTCAGAAGATGAACTGACGTAAGATTATCGAATTATTCTTTAAAATTACACTCAATTTTCAAAATCTGAATTTGACGTGGCACATTTGTATACTTAGGATTTCTTTTTCATTATAAAAATTAACGCCACGTCGTTGTTTATTTTATTTCCTTTTTCTTAGCAACAGATTCATAATTTATTTTCGTAAATTTTTCTCTTCATACTTCAGGTTTATTGTCGTAATAATGAATTAGAGGCAGTTTTTGCTCACCATAAATTGCTAATCAAGAAAATTCAATTGCATCACCCGATTCAATAACATTTACGGTTCTTAGGCGTTCCATTCAACAGCAACAATTAACTATTTCAAAAATTTCATTTTACCCTCTGTGAAGTTTCCATGATTATTTGTAGTAATACGTACAACGGGGCGGATATCATTTGCTTGCGCTTTTTACGAAAGAAAAAAATATCTGAATAGTTTAGACAGATAACGATAAACAACATTGACACTAGTTATCTCATGCCACACTCATCTATTTTTTGGTGAGAAAAACCCATTCCCGTGAAAGAAAGAAAGAAAGTAATTCTTTCAGCCTCTCTTTTCGATATTATTTTGTTATCGATAAGAAGAATTAGATGAGTAAGGCACAATTTTACGATATCTAGATTCATTATCTCCTTAAGGATAATTTTTAGTCATCATTTTGGCGTTATTATACCTTCCCAAGCGTCGTCACATTGTTTTTTCGCGAGTCGTCTCTTTTCTGGAAAATAAAAAAAGAATATTCAGCAATTATTGAGTCTTTCTGTTTATAAGATCGTGATTTCTCCTGATCTCATATTAGTCCGTAAGGTAGGGCGGAGGGGTTTTGCGTACATTTTAGTTCGATGAAATTTATCTATTGGATTCCCTGGTTGTTAACCCGCTTAATCAGAATATCGAGAATTCCGAGTCAAACTCCAGTCAGTTTTTTTGTTATTAGCAATTTATTAATAAATCCGGTCGGAATGACAAAACGTATTTTCTTTTACTTGGAAATAAAAAAAATCAAGGGTGTGTTCTGAAGACACACGACAGAAGTGAAACTTCCTGGGTGTATATGAGGATGTATATTTCCTTGTAGCGGTTTTTATCGGAAAGTTAATTGAAAAAAGGAATGAAAATGATCCACAACCGACTCAATCAATTTTTTATGTTGGTTTAGTGTCATTTTCAAAAAATAAGTATAGGACGTAGGTATTTGAATAAAAAAAAGGTAGTTTAGGATTCATTTTTATGGAAATATATTTTTCAAGAATGGGTGATTACATAAAATTTTTTATGGGAATTCCATCAATCAATTCCAATCAGCGATTAATTGGCAAATTTATATGTTCACGAGTCTAGAAGGTTTATTATTAATAATTGAGTTCTTTTCGAATATGGCGTGTACAAACTTGTGAACTGGATTCTCAAATAATTATTCTGATTTATGGCAACTCTACTCTGATTTTTATGTTTCGATATCCGTATCTGCTTGTTGATTATCGGACTCTATGATTGTTACTATTGGTTTGTGATAACTAAAATAAGACACAAATGTTTGTGATTCGATTTTCTTCAAATTTCGGCTGAATACAGCATCAATCGTCGTACCCGACCTGGTTGTTTAGCTCGCTGGTGGCCATCATGAACGGTGTAACATGTATTTCTTCTTTAAAAACTCTGAAATGTCCGAGATAAATCGCTGGAAATGACAATTCTTCAGCATGTTCATCAAAGAGTAAACTATGAGGCACGTTTTTTTCTCCTGGTGCGATTTGCAAATATTTTTCTTCGTTCCATAGCAATGTTTGTTGTTGAGCAGTGAGGCAGTCTTCAATCGTCATATTTTCACTGATTTCGTCAATGGGAATTTGCTCATTTGCCATGTAATTGAAAAAATCTTCTTTAATCGTTATGTTGTAGAATTTGTACAGAGGATTATTGCAGAGATACTGCAACCAGGCTTTTATATTTCTCTTGTTTATGAGACTGGTTAAATAACTCGATTTATGGATCTGTTTACGTTTGATGTGCACGTTGATGCAGTAATCATCGCTAACATCCCGTGGTAGTGCGTTCACCATGAGATTGACGTCCACAGGAACATTGATCACCTGTCCGAGAATCCCGTACTGGCCGCTCATGTGTCGCAGTCTTCTGATTTGCATGAAAGGAATTCTGGGCGAAATAAGTCTTTCGGATATTAAGTCTAATTCTGGTAAATTTGCTGGTTTAGGGGGATATTTGAATCCATTTGATGTTGAAAATGTTGGTATTTTGTTTCGGTTCAATGAAGACAAACAAGTCTTACACGCTTTAAAATGATTAATGTCAATCTGGGGAAAGTCGCTCTGTAATAATTCGCGATGTGGCTCTTCTATCGTTTTCAAATCGTTTTTGAACCATAATCGATCACAAATATTACACGCTTCACCGAAAGTATTGTCTAGAAACTGTTTCTTGAATTCTTTTCGTACACTGTCATGAGCTGCAAAGTCACTATACGCCAAAATTCGCTCTGTTAAATCGGGTTCATCACTCGTCGATGGTGGTTCAATTGTTTCTGATGATTCTGCCACCGCAGCCGGTATTGCAGAACCCGGAATTGATACACCTGCCTGGGCTGCAGTCAATAACGCCTTCTTTCGCGCCCTGTACTCTCGCATCCGTTTATTTGCACTTTTTCGCGCTTGTTTTGGTGGTTTATTTCCACGTTGTCTTTGATAATACGCCTTATCCACTTCTTTTTTCGACTTCGTTTTAGCCATTATGTACACGGTACATGATCGCACGATTTATTGGTGTGTATAAAATGTCGAAAATGAGTATAGAAAACTCAATGTCCACGATAAAAATAATAGCACCTGTTAAGCCCTTCACTAGTCCAACACTATGTTCAAGATGAACAAAAATTTTTTAAAATCAATCACAATATCACCACAAAAGTAAGTTTAATAGATGGCGTTACGAAAACTGTGGAGCCAACAAACACAACCCGCGTTACAAAAACCCACGTGCTTTATTCGTACTGCTGGGAACTAACGCGTCATTCCAGCCGCCGCTCCCCCACCCTGGCTTTCCCTACTCTTCTCTCGGCCGTCTACTTTGTTGGGCACTAACGCGTCATTCCAACCGCCCCCCCCCCCGCGCTATTCCATATTCTTCTCGCTGCCGTTTAATGTGGCAACAAGCAACTGTTACGCCACTTGCCCCCCCCCCTCGCGGCGCTCACAACGACCACTACAGTATGCGTCAGAGTGGAGCTGCTGCCGAGGCAGACTTAGGGATGGGCGATGTTTTTCGATTAATCGACAACATCGATTTTTCTGTCGAAGACATCGATGTTTTTCATTCGATGTTTCCAACAGCCGGTTAATCGATTTTTCGATGTTTTCTCCCAAACATCGATGTTTTTGAAGCCATTAATTAAACAAATCCCGTTAATTTTTTTAATTAAATATTTAATATTTGAATATTAACAATGCCGCCTGTGGGCTACCGTTCATCATAGAATTTCTAGATTAGAAGGAAATGGATTTTTGAGCATAAAACGATTAAAAAACGTCGAAAAAATAGAATAATAAATGCAATAAATACGATAGAAAATTTTCATTTATTTATGGTATTCATTTATTATAGGTAGAGATTCATAGAGATAAATGAGATAATGAGATCATTTTAATTATGGTTTTTCTTCTCCAGTTCACATCAATTCAACTCCACAGGTTCGCTAGACGAGTGAGTTAAAAAAAAATTTATAAAAAACGTGATAGATTATTTAAAAATTTAATTCAGATACTATTTGTTATTACTCACTAAAAAATTCCGTCCGCTGATCGATAGAACAATTCGATGTTGTCATCTTGGTTGTGCGCACGCCCGCTGTCGATCAGATTATGCACAAATGTTGTAACAAATCCATTCTCCCCTGGAATTATTTTGCAAATTAGATAATTTCAAATACGTTTTATTTTTACTTATTATATTCACTAATATTTAGCAGAAAAAAACATACTCGACAGACGTAGATAGAGATTCAAGCTTAACCCATCAATACGAAATGGATCCTGCATGTTTATTTGCAGGTAAATGGAAAACTTCCTCCTCGAGCTTTGAGCATGTTCTGAAATTACGAAATTAAAAGTGTCACGATCATAAAAGTACTTCGAAGGAGAATGTTTAATATACATACCTGTTATTATGAGGTCGTCCATGAGTGCCTTCTCCATTTTTTCCATTATAACTATTGAAAGAAAACACGAGGGTAACTTTGGAGGTTGGAAATTATTTCTCGCGAGAACTTCGAGACCTCCAACAAAAGTGAAGACCAATCTCATTGATCCAAATAATTCTGGTGAAGATGGCGGCTACTCTAGGGACCCTGCATCGTTAGGGTTCCTCGCACAGTTCGACNGTAAACGTTATTGTCCCTTGGACACCGAAGTATGGGAGACGCATGCGCAGATATTAATATGTGCACTTGCGCGTCGACAAACGACCGCAGCACGCATTTTTTTTTGCGCGTAGGCTTCTTTCGTAGCCTGTTTCTTACTTTCGCCCTGCTACGAGGCGGGAGAGTACTCCGTACTTTCGACAGCCCCACTAGAGGCCGAAAGTTCGAACTTTCGGTGTAGGGATGGTGAAAAACGTTATAACCAATCCTCTTGGAAAACACTACACACCTTTTAAAAAAAACCGATGTATTTTCAGTTTTCATCAAATTATTAGTTAAAAGAAAAGAAGATTTCAAATTTTCACAGCATGGACTGTGAAAAAGCTGGTAAGTGATGTATTTTATGCATTTGATTATGGACTTAAATGATTTACTGGAGCATTGAATTAAACAATATCTCCACCGGTTGAAATAACCTCAAACTTTAATGACGCTTTTTTTTCTCGTTAAGATTCGAATAATTGAATACGCGTTCGTTTAGAACGATGTTTTATTTATAAAATTTTTTTAAAAACATCCATATTTTGTACCCCCGAAAAACAAATATTTTTCTCAGAACATATGTTTTTTTACGCGCATTTTTTTTTTAACTAACAAAAAGAACACGCAGAATTCGGATAGAGAAAATATCGTTCCAAACGAGTAAGCATTAAATAATTCGAAACTTGACAGGGAAAAAAAGCGTCATAATGAATTTTATCCCTCAATGTTTTTTTTCTTTTTTAGCACGAACTTCTGAAAGATTGTTCACAGTTTTTTTCACCTTGAACAAAGGGGAGCCATATGTCATTAATGGAATTGACTATCGAACGTATCTGAAGATAAGACGTTAGTTTAAATATTGAGAATAACATTTAACACATAAATATCTACAAAATTATAATGACGCTTTTATTCTTGTTAAGTTTCGAGTCAATTAATGTATGTTGATTTAAAACAATATTTTCTTCATCAGATTCCTACGTGGTCGTTTAGTTGATTGAAAAAAAAAATAATAATTGCNACGAATATCCACGATTTAAAAAAATAGTATATTGCTATACAAGGGCCGAAAGTTGGCCATAGCATCCCGCGTGTGTTTGCCACCCGAGCGAAGCGAGGGTGGCAATCACGCGGGATGACGTGGCCAACTTTTTGCCCGTGTATTGCATACTATTTTTCACCATACCTTTACACCGAAAGTTCGTAAGAAATTCATCGAGAAAATGCTAAAACTGAAAATAATGCTCCATTGGAAAGTGAGGTTAGGTGTCGTTCTGTATATGTCTGTATACGTCTGTATACGTCTGTATATGATTCCACAAAAAAATCTTGGATTTTTTTGGCTTAAATCCCCTGGATTGTTTCTTCATGAAAGCTTTGAGTTTGTCGAATACTTTGAGGTTAATGTTGTGATAAAGAATCATGACACTTTTCAGCATTGACCATTCTCCCCACAGAGTTGAAGGCTTCAGTCTTTTTGATTGTTCATTAAAATAGACGAGAAAAACATTTTCTGTGAATTCCTTAACCTGATTTTTCATTGCCCATGCAATGAACTTGTCATAACAAAGTTTGTATCTTTTGCATGACTTTTGTGGCAGTAGATTTTCTTGGATATCTTTGGCTTCCCCATCAATATTTCTTTCTGGCTCTGCTTCACATTCACTTTCACTATCGTAGGAATCGTCTGATGATGCCATTTTTATCAGTAGGGCAAAGATAAACTNGACACATAAATATCTACAAAATTATAATGACGCTTTTATTCTTGTTAAGTTTCGAGTCATTTAATGTATGTTCATTTAAAACAATATTTTCTTCATCAGATTCCTACGTGGTCGTTTAGTTGATTGAAAAAAAAAATAATAATTGCATGGAAAAAACCATGCATTCCTTATTTTGATATTCTGAAAGAAAACTTTTTTGAAACACCCATGTTTCGTATCCCAAAAACAGAAAACTTTCTCAGAACATATAATGTTTTTTTCCTTGCAATTATTTCTGTTTTTAACTGGCTAAACGAACACGTGGATATCTGATAAAGAAAACATCGTTTTACACGAAGCATTAAATAATTCGAAACTTGACAAGGAAAAGGAGTGTTATAATTATCATCTTACAGAGAATAAAGAGGCAGCAGAGAAATTCTGCATGGAGCTGATCGCAAGGGGAGATATACCTTTAGGTGAAGATGGAAGGATTGACTGTATCCACATGAGCACTGATGGGGGAATTAATTTGTAAGTTGATAATTCATCGTATAACGCGAGATATCGTTTGATTATTTAATATTATCAATGTTTAGGAGAGGGTGGGGTAAAATGGACACCTCCAAAAAATTGTTTTCTTTTTTATTTTTGAAATTTCTCTACGTCTCAATACACATAAATAAGTAAATTAAATATTTAGCTATTAGTTAATTAACAGGCCGACAAGCAAGGCTCTCGAATAACGCGAAACTGTCAATAACGTAAAAAATTCACCAATGATTGAGCATCTGCAAATGGGGTTTTAAAATTCGATTTACATGTGTTTCAACTGTATTTTTTAAGCTAAAGTTATTGCATTGTTGAACCATTTAAAAAATGAATGTTTTCGTAGCTATTAGTTTTATATTCACTCTGATAATAATTAAATGACTTTGATCAACGCGTTTGTCATTTTAGATCGTCATCCTGTAGTCCAAGAAAGGCATTTCATGGTGATAATTGCCAGTACACCAGTTTAAATAAAAAAAAGTGTCCATTTTAATCCACCCTCCCCTATATAGAAAATAAGAACACCTGGCTGTCACATGTACATAAGAGGCAAAATTTCAATCCAAATATCTTTTAAGGTGCAACGACTATTTTTTAAAAAACCGAATTGCTGGGGCTTGTTTAATCTGGTTATGAAAGGCATGAATATTTGGATTTTTCTGAACAGTCGTTTCACCCGAAAAATAATTGGTTTGAAATTTTTTCTTCAATGGTTATGTGACATAGCCACTGAGAGATTCTAAAAATGTGGAAATTTCCAGCGAGGAACAGTGTAATCATGCATCGGATGACTTACACAATGAGGCGTTGGGAGGAGATTCAATCGATCAAGCACCAGGCACGTCACCAATAAGACAGAGCAACACAAATATACAGGCCTCTACGTCGAACACTGTACCTGCTACCGATGAAAGTGATAAACCGGATAGAAATTCTATCCACTTTGATTCCGACTCTTCTTCACAACATGCCAACAGCTCAAACAGTACCAAAGAGAAGCTGCGAAAATTTCAATATCCTACTAATGAGGCCAGAGACCCAAGTGAAAGATGTAAGTATAATGATACTTCCTTTGTCATCACCTGATTCACTCACAATGATCATCCCCATCAATTTCCATAATTTATGCAAGAAAATAAAAGAAAATTCTTCCTCAGCCGATGGCGCAATCAAACTTCAGAAGAAATCAGCTGTCTCCACTTCTACACCGGTGATTGGACCGAAAGGGTAATTTTCCTCCATTCATGTAAAAATTTAATTCTCTTGCTTCTCCTCCTGAAACTGACCCTCACTGAGATAATGTGCTGTGTTATAATTTATCGATAATTATCCCTGAACATTTTACCTGGCCGACTCAAATCTTGTATCAAGTACAAAGTTTTGATGCTTGATTTGTTTATATTAATCATTTTATAGTCCTGCTGTAGGGTTATTTATCAGCTCTAAGCTCCAGCTCTCTTACTTGCCCCCTCATTTTTTAGTCATTGGAAAACGGATATTTTTGAAGTCGTGATTCGAATTTCTCATAAGTTTTATGTTTTGTTATTTAGAAAACAGAGCAGTCTGGTTTGGAAACATTTCAAGAACGTAGATAAGTTGACAGCAAAATGTCAGCACTGTGGCAGAATTTATAAACATGATAAGAATACCAGCAATATGTTGCAACATCTCGAGCGCAAACATTCTGATTTTGTGATACTACCGAAATCCAAGAAACGGAAAATTCATTTGTCCCCTGATAAACTCTCTGATGAGTCGCCCTCCACCGGAAAGAATGAATCTTGGTTTCCACATAATCTACCTACCATCACCAATGCATTTTCACGTCAGAATTCTTATGCAGGTTTGTTATTCATCATTCTTATTCCTATCTTTCGATCTCATTTATAAACTATTCCTTCATCGCTTATACTCTGAATTCAATTACAGATCGTGGAGAAAACGCCAATCGAATTACCATGGTTCTTCTCTATTTGATATGTGTGGCGAAATTGCCCCTTTCAATCGTCGAGAACGAGGCCTTCAAAGTATTCATGACGGTGTTGGCAAAAATTCAAGCTCGATATGAAGTTTTGAAACAACCATTTAAGGAGGTTCTGTCACGAGCTCAATCGTACACACTCACGTGTGACAATTGGACCGACATTGGAAACACTAGTTACCTTGGCGTAACAATTCATNGATTTTTCTTGCGATTTAAAATTCTATGTTTCTCGTCTCGTTCTCCACTTATTTTCCATCCCCTTAACCCTCCAACCTGATTATTGTTTCTACTTGTTTTCTCGGCGCGGGAATGGGGAGAGGTGAGTCGCACGCTTCGTGGGGACCGCGGGAAGAAGCTTAGTCAAGTAAGAGAATTAAAAGCTGGGATTCAAAAATTAATGAAGAATATATTTCTAGAAATGTGATGGAGATTCAATGGAGTTCAATTCCAGAGACAAAACGCTAATGATTAGCATTCGGTAAGAAAAAATAAGGTAAACAAGTAATGGGAAAAAAATGAAAAATGATTCACCATTTTGTTTTCCCACAAATCATCCAATAATTCAATCTACAAATATGTTGATTCTATTAATAAATACAATAAATACAAAATTAAATGAAAATTTTCGTTTTTTTTACGTTCTATGAGAAAAAACATCGGTTTTTTAAAATAATCGATGTTTTTAAAAAAAATCGACGTATAACATCGATGTTTTTCAAAACATCGATTTTTTTTAAATCGATTTTTTTTTCAAACCTCGCCCATCCCTAGGCAGACTCCCCTGTCTTGCTGTTCTCCCCACCACACTTCGACCGATTCCCCTCACGGGATCGGAATTTTCGTAACGCTCCGAAAATTTCATACCCCCGGCAAAGAAGTTTCACTTCAAAAAGCACAGTTCAGTACTCGTTGAACGTATTCAGGGTTTGGTCATTAACTAAGAATCGCGATTTTCTGTGGTAAATAATAGAATACTGGTAATTTACTTCTAAATGATAAAAAAACAAGGGGGAAATTGCCGATGTATAGCATACAGTATAGCTTTTTTTGCTAATAAATTAGCAATATGCTTCCGAATGATCATGTTGCTTTTTTTTTTCTTCCGTATGATTTATATTTAACTTTATTTCATTAAGGCCCGGATGGAGTTACCAACACTCCCTCCACCCCACACCCCGCTGAAATCCATCATCTAGATATGGTGGATCAATGGGTGATGGGGACATGCACTTGGTATATAAATGATTGAACTCGAAACAATTAAAAATTCGCGAAAAAAACTGTTGAGCGGCCGGGCCACATTATTCTTCTTTTTTTTAAATCACATTCCCGCTTGTAAATATTGCGAATTGAAAAAAACCTTTATAGTGCGAGTTAGCTATCAGCTGTTATGTCTTCACACTGACCATGGAGAATAGAGACCAGGAGGCCGAACTCATATGGGCGATGCGCCTGATTCGCGATGTCAAAACCGATTTTTCGCCCTCTGGTGAGGATTCATGAAACTGCTCGATGGGGGGACCTACCAGCTGTTTGGGCGCTGGTGTATGAAAGTACAAGGTTATCAATTTCTTCTCTATAATTATAACAAAAACTATTAATTTTTTCAATTACCCAATATGAATATAAATCCAAAATTGAATTTGACGTATTGTGATATTGGTGATTTACTACAGAATACAAGGCGACCCATTAAGGCAGGGGAGGAAGTGTTACAAGCTGGGCATATAATTATTTGTGGTATAAAAACCTATGGCCCTAATTACGTTGATATTTTGTCTGCGTGTCGACAATCATCTCATTGGAATAATTATCATGAAGTTAATATCAGAATTTCAATTGAGAATTCTGAGAAAAAAATAACCTGCAAATGTAGTTGTCCAGCTGGCATGGGAGAAAAGTGCAAACATATTTTTGGGACCCTTTTATACCTTTATCGGTATGGATCACACCGTATTCAAAACTTGTAATTTCCTTGCTTGTTTTTTTTTAAAGCTATTTTTGCTATTCCATTTGCTATTACATTTTGACTCATGAGAAAACATGTCATGAGAACAGAGCATGTAGTTTTCCGTTTTTTTTTAAATTTAATTTACAGAGTCCAAGTTGATAAATTAGAACAGTTAAGCTGTACTGACTTAAAACAACAATGGGGGAAAGTAAAATCGAATGCTGAATTGCCTCATAATCAAATACTTCCAATAGAAGAATTTTGTTGTCAGAAGACGAAGGAAGTTGAGAAAGAAAATGATCACAACCTGGGTAATTTATTCTTCAATACATTGATTACAGGTACGATTGTATGGTTTTTGGTTCTCATTAATTCTTAATTTTTTTCTTTCTACATTTATTGATATCTGATTTTTGTGATCGCCATTGATACAAATAGCACATCCACAATCAGAAGCAGGGATCCATTTCTCAAAACAACGCGCAACGAAACGGTCTTTTGATGTTGCTTCAAAAAATCGAGCTGCTTCCCTCGAGTCTATAAGAGCTTTCCTGAAGGAACGTATCCATACCACCCTACCCTATGATCCACCTACTCCTACTTTGAACGACAGTCTGCTTACTTTTTATGAGAATAAAATTAACGTAACCGAAGCTAGGTCAATTGAAATATGCATGAGAACAATAGGACAAGAGAACGATATGTGGAGACGAGAAAGACAATTGAGAATTACAGGGAGCACATGTTATGAATTACATACATATGGTGCAAGTGGAAAGGCTGATTGGCCTAAAAAAATTAAAGATAAAGTATTTTCAGCATTCCGGGGAAATGCCGCTACCCGCCATGGAACATTGACTGAACCGAAGTGTCGTGAGAGATATGCAGAGTGGACAAAAAAAAAAGTACATACATTGGGGTTGTTCATTCATCCCAGAATACCCTGGCTGGGATACAGTGCTGACGGTATTATTCAGAGTGATAATTGTTTGTTGGAAATTAAATGTCCAAAAGAAGGGATACAAAAGTCAGCTAAGGATGTAGTGTTATCTAAGAAATTAGCTTATATCGGTATTTCTGAGACAGGAAAAATCTATTTGAAACCAAATCATAAGTACTTTGGACAAATTCAACTGGGAATGTTCCTTTTAAACTTAAGTAAATGTGAGTTTTTTATTTGGAGTTCATTCGATGAGAGTTGTGTTGTTGTTCAAGTCCCATTCAATGAAGAGTATGCCAAGGTACTGTGTCAAAAATTGGTACAAGTTTATTTTTGTCATATTTTACCAGAATTATTTAAACATTTTTCATAGAAGTTTCGGCCTGAATTGTGAATGAATATTATCTGCATTATGATTGTATGGTGTCGTCTTCTGCATGTTTTGTTTGTTTGTTTTTGTATCAATTCCTATAAATCATTGTCAGTACCGATCCTTTAGCATCCATATACATGTAGGAGAAGCTCAAAGTACTCTTCTTGGGATTGTTATTCTAAACTTTAGAATCTTAAGGTTCTGGAGATCATCAACTGTTTTTCATATTCGAATAACCTTGAGATTATGAAGAAGGAATATTAGCCGGCTTTTATGTGACGTCTTCGGAGGGTTGATCTCAATCATTCCGATATTTTTTGGTATCAGATTAAGAACGTGAATATAATTCCAGATGAATCCAACGTCCGCAAGGTTAACCGTTGGACGGATTAAACGTCAGGAGGATCGAATGTCAGAAGGACCAAACCTCCAAAGGCTCAAACGTAAAAAGATCAAACGCCCGGAGGTTCAAACGTCAGCAGAATCAAACGTTTGACCCTTCGAATGTTTGATCCTCCTGTCGTTTGACCCTTCGGACGTTTGATCCTTCTATCGTTCAACCCTTCGGACGTCTGACCCTTCAGACGGTTGATCCTTCTGACATTCGATTTTTCTAACCCTTTGATCCTCCTGTCGTTTGACCCTTGGGACATTTGGTCCTTTGGCGGTTTAATTCTTCGGCGGTTCCGACCCTTTGAAACGTCATTCAATCATTTAATACAGTGATGAAGGAAAGATTATGTCAAATTTTTGTTTGGAAGTTCAATGATGAGAAAGTAGGTCATCTTTTGAAAATCTTTATTTTTTCCGTTTTATACATTTATAAAGGGAATAAAATTGAACAACTGGATATAAGTCCAAAATGAGTTTACAGATTATCTCACCAAGATTTTCGAAACGGAGAAATTCAGAAAAAAAAATTGAAAAAGTTAAGAAACATTTAATGTTGAGCTATAGAAAATTTCATATTTTCCTCTGAATTAATGAGTTATTATATATTTGTTATGGCATTAAATATATTTGATAAGATGAGGTCATCAAAAATTAATTAGAACTTATCCTCAGCAAGAATTGGGTTGCCCAGATTTGTTACTCCGCAGATGACGGTCATTATCTTACTGGAAATCTTAACTAAATGATGCGGAAGAATTCCTTGCAATATCTTGAATATTTTTATTCTCTGAATTGTCCTTTGAAGATGCACCCGTGCAGCCGCTATTCGTGCAGTTGCTTCCGCTTCTGCCTTAGTAAATTGTTTATTTTTCCTCAAAAATGGGGGCCGTATCATTTTAACTCCATACCGAGCACATTCCACGTCTATCAAAAATCCTTTATCAACCATCACGCTGTCAACGTTTGGGATCATTAATTCTAGGATTCCTGATTTTGAAAAAATTTGTTTATCGGATGCTCGGCCACCAAAAGATTTACTCAAGAATGATATGAGCCCTGAGGGGGTAACCCCGATCATGAATTTGACAGTATGAGTTCCTTTATAATGTGAATACGTCATAAAACGACATTTTAAACATTTTGACTTTGCGACAGGGATTTCTGTACAATCAAGAACCACTCTGGTACTGTAGTATTTTTGGAAGCACCGCGGAATGTTCTCTAGTATTTCTTCTTTTTGTGGCCACCTTACAACCGGTGAGAAAACATCTGATAAATTTCTTAAAGTGGAATTAAAATAATTTTTACAGGTTTGTCGTGAAACTTTAAAAATCCCAGATAATGCAACATATGATAGATTCCATTTCAATTTTATAAATGTTAAGAGTATTTTTTTTCTAACATCAAGGCGATCATTTAGATTCTGACCCATTGTCTTTTTCAATTCTGTGACACAGATTACTAGAGACGTTAATAATGCAAAAAATGTCAAACCAGTGAATCCACTGAGATCTGTCTCATTCTGAATAATTGCGTCCACCAATGAACTATCTGTTTGCATACCCTTGTCTACGTGCATTTGTGGAATGCTAGTTTGAGTTATTGCATCCAACATATTATTTCCCACTTGTACTGCTAAATCACGAGTTATCCTGTGCAATTGGATTGCTGCATCGAACTTGACGACTTGGACATCAACCTGAACATCTGCATCGCATGAAGTAGAAACACACTGGTTAGCAACACTAGCTTCGCACGTCGATTGTTCCCCTCTTTCTGGATAATCTTCTGTATGTAATTCTGTGAATCAAGTTGCAGTAGTTATAAACTGATAACAAGAATGCCAAATTATTTAAATTTTTTTAAAAGGATACATTTTCATACCATAGTTAAGATGTTCTCTGTCTTTGTTTAAATTTGTTATTGTTTTCACTGCGGGTTGATGGAATGATGGTAATACTCCAGTTTTCAATCTTTTCCTATGCGGCTCAGAACTCTCAAGTGCAGCTTAATTCAATGTTCATATTCGAACGTTATAATATTATCATTTATATTTAATATTGACCAATCCATACTCATATTTATAAATGACCTCAATGTCGTATAATTATCAATACTCACCACGTTTGATGTAATCATCAGTGGAAAAATGCAGACTGCAAACTCTCATCTCTCGATCATGAGGCCTATCAATTTTTAAAATTTCCATCCACTTATTTCGCGAAACCACATCAGATGGAAACAAATGAAAACTCAGATTAGATTTATCTTTTATTTTACAATGTGGCACGCAGCAAACTTTTCTATCATTTTTTTTATAATTAATTGAATTCATTTTTTTGCAAGTGGAACTGTTGCACACTTTTATTTTGATATGAAGTTAGCTACAAGCTAAGACATGACGTTGGTTGTTTCACCTTAGAGTACTTCGAAATTCTCCCGTTTTTTTGGTTGCAACGCTGATGTCACTTTTGTCATCGCGAAAGCGACCGCGACGGCGCTGTTCAGGGAAGCGCGCGTAAATTACAAATCGAATTCTCTATGTGAAATGAAAAACTTTTCGAATGATGATTGATAATTGGATAACTTGAAAGCCAAAAATGGAATGAAACAAGTGGGAAATTACGTTTATCGTCATATAGTATATGCATATTTTCTACACATGGATTTGTTTATAATGAGGGGAATGGGAAATTATTTTTTGGTGATGGATGTTAAAAATTGAAAGGTAGTTGAAATGATTGATACTTAGATGAACTTGAATGTCAAGAGTGGAATAAAATAGAAGTGATTAATTCCTTTCGTCACAATATAGTCAATATATTTTTACTCCTAAATTAACAATTCGCTTCCGCATGGAATTTCTATAATGGTGGATTTTCCAATTGAATTCAATGATTTATTGTATTCAATATCGCCTCAATGTTGGCAGCCAGCATTGCCTCAAAAATATTGGTTTCAAAATAATTTTTTTCAACAACAGATGATGCAATCAATCTCATGATCGAACTTGGTCATAGTGGCATTGGGAAGAATATTTTAAATCATAGTTAGATTCATTTAAACAATCATTTTTTCAGTTATCGTCGAAAAACGATCGGTCACATACACACACACACACACACACACGCATGCATACATCCGGACATCCTCCTATTTATAAAAAAAGCATGGCATCGACATTTCGAAAGGAGAAAAGTCGACTTTCCATTTTTTTAAATATATTTTTTAAATATTCGCTCATAATTATGAGTACATGGCAGTTATACTGTTGAAAAAAAAGATTAAAATTTTAAGGACAGTTAATAGTAAATTTTAAGAGTTAGAGAGGTACAAGTCTTGAAATGTAAAAGTTCACTGGAAATTAACTGCGATTCAACATTTTTTAACAGCATGGAGATAAAAACTCTCAAGTTCCTTAAATTCTCATTCAATATATGAATATTCTGTACCTAAAATTACTGGATAGTTTCGGATGCTAAAGTAATTATAATTGTCCAAATCAAAAATAGAAGTATTCAACTTTACTAATCTTGCGTTTAGTAAGGTTTTCTCCAAAGTTGATTAGAATCAGTAGCTAGAATTATGAGATTATAGAATTTGAATGCGACACAATGAAAACCATGATCAATTTTTTCGCTTCAAAAAATGATAATAATCATATCCAAATTAAAAAAGTGCAGAGAACAAGAATGATGATATTTGTGTCATATCCTCTGAATCATTAACATGAATGTCAGATTCACGAAAAAGGTTGGAGCAAAAGTCACACGGTCATTTCAAGTTTTTATTTGCAATTTGGCGCTGGAAACATGAAATGACGATATTCAGAGGGAGCCAGTTTTTTCCGGATGTAAGATGATTCGGCAGTTTTCCGGAGAATTTAAAACAATTATGAGGTTTTCTGGAAAAATTCGAGAAAACTGAATTCTTCGAAAATTGGAAGAAATTTTGGATATCTCTCAAATTTTAAAGAATTTTTGCATAAACAATGAGAGAACAATTAGTAGGAAAAGGTGGAATTTTCCAAATAAAACTGATGTGAAGGAGTCCCGAGCTTCCAACAACTGCACTCTGATTGATGGAAATGAGAAGGAACATAATTTTTAAAAATTCGAAAATTTCCTCGGATTGTCTCAACAATTTGAAAAACATTTTTTTGTTAATTCACAAGAATTTCGGAATTTTATGGAGAATTTGAAAAAATTTCAGATGATTAATGATTCAAGTTTCAAATAATATATCACCTAATAAAATTGTGACAAAAATCATGAATGAGAAGATACTTCGAATTAGTCGAAGAGTATCAGAATCGGTCTTATGATTTTTGCCAGAAAAATAATTGAATGCTATTGTCAAGTTGTGAAAGGGAATAAAGGGGGCGGCGAAGATTAAAAAATTCTGAGTTGAGAGAAATATACTAATTATTGTTTTGTACTCTGAATCGAATTTTGATTATAATTATAGTTAGAACGTCATTCATAGAGCACAGAAATTCAAAATTAGTGAATCACCTATTGAAATATTGACATTAAACAGGCAATCAAACAACAAACATTATTTTCATTAACCTTAACACTCAGTATAATAAGACGATAATGAATCATTAATTGTTGAAAGAGACACAAGGAAAAATAAAAAAAGCCATAATGAAAGGGCATCGGCGCTAGCGAATATGAAAAAGGAGCCTTTCAGCCTGACTGAAATAATAATGCAAAGCCGAAACTGTTAAGACCGATAGGAATATGAAAATTTTTGAGTAGATCCTATTTCTAAGGCGTGCTTATTAAGAGAAGATTTTTAGAAATAAAAGAGGATGTGTTTCAAATTCTTTCTAAAATCCACCTTTAATAGGATGAATAGGGGATGAATTATAAGAACATTAAGGAAGTTTACAGGTTCCCTAAAAAATCAGAGAATTGTCGGCTTTTTCTGAATGTAAAATGATTCGGAAGTTTTCCAGAGAATTTATAACAGTTATGAGATTTTCTGAAAAAACCCGAAAAAATCCACGAGTCGTTCAACAATTAGAGAAAATTTTCGGTATCTCTCAAATGTTAGAGAATTTTTTATTAAACCATGGGAGACCAATTGATAGGAAAAGGTGGAATTTTCCAAATGAAATTGATATGAAGTAGTCACGTGACACCCTACTGCACTCTGATTGATTCAAATGGGAATGAAAAACATAATTTGAAAAATCGGAGAATATAATTTCACAAAAATTTCCCAAGTTTTTCAAGCAAAATTCACAAGAATTTCCGGACTTCATGGAGGATTTGACAAAAATTCAGATGATCCATCAAAGTTTCAAGTTCATGGCATCGTCGAATAAAATTGTGAAAAAGATCATGAATGACGAGAAAATACTCCGAATTAGCGAAGGAGCATCAGAATCTGTCATATAATTTTTCCAGCAAAAATAATTAAATGCTTTGGTAAAGGTGTAAAGGAGAACAAAAGGGGTGACGAACACTAAACAATTCTGGGTTGTGTGAACTTCAATAATTACTGCTTCGCACTCTGAATAGAATTTTTATTATAATCATAGTTAGAACTTCATTCAGTGAGCACAAAAATTAAGAATCATTGAATCACTCATTGAAATATTGAAATTAAACAGGTGATGACCCGATAAGCATTGTGTCCATTAATCTTAATACTCAGTTTAATAAGACTATGATGAATCATTATTTTTGAGCAAACTTCCAAAAATATTGGATAAACGGCCAGAAAATTGGATTATTATGGAATTATTTTTATAAAGGAAGGTCGTGGTCTCCGGAAAATGCGATTTTTTCACTCATCCAATTCATTAGTCTACTCTGAAAAGTCGACTTTCTATTATTTCTCAAGATTTTCGAAATGTTTCCTGATAATTATGAGTAAATCGAAATGATACTATTGAAATGAAAAAATTAAGTTTTATGGGCAGTTCAGTAGTAGTTCTTAGGAGACATTTGATTCAGTTTGAGAGGGAAAAGAAATCTGATGGAATTCATTATTTTCTCAACGGCATGAAAATGAAAACTCTGAAGTGACTTAGTTTTTTTTAACAAAAAGGGAACCTAATTACTCTGTCTTTTCGTTTGATAAACCAATTATCATAATTTCCCATATTATTTGAGTCAAAGGCAAATAGAATGATTCAAACTTCTTAATATTGCGTTTGCCACGAATTTCTGACTTTTCTCAGGTTGAACTACAGGAGGATATGAATGTAACACAGTGGAAATGATGATTAATTCACTTTGAATGAATAGTAATAATAATATAAAAATGAAGAGATTCTATTATGAATAAAAATCTGTGACTCAATATTTCATAACAGCAGAAATCAAGATATTATGTAATATTATCAGTAGTAATACCACGAGACCTCCACAAAATAATCGAATATTTCCCGATTGTTTTGTTGCGTAGCAACGAGTAGATCTTTTGCAGATTAAAATTCTGGTGCAAAACCTATCCCGATCGTTGATACCCAGGAAAACATGAGGGAAATGTTCGATTAATTTTGGAGGTCGAGTGGCTGGTATTCAGTGGATTATTTTTGGTAATCGGATCTGGTCGTTTTGACTTCCTTCATGACTTTTTTCACTCCAGGATAATATTTGACAGTTATTTGGTTAGAGAAACAATTGCAGAGCTAGAGGTAAATTATCAAAAGCCACAGGGAAATTATCAAAAGCTAGAGCTACTTCATGTTATTGAATACTGAGCTCTGATTGGCCCAGGGGAGGCCAGATCCGATCACCAAAAATAATCTGAATTATTAACATGAATTCCAGATTCACAAAAAGGATGGAGCATACTTCAAACTTTCATTTTCAGTTGCAATTTTCAATTTGGTGCTGAAAAGATGAAGTGGCAATATTTGAAGCACGGAATCATATTGATGATTTGAACAACAGATGATTTAAATCACCGAGAGAACTGATTAAAATATTTATAACAGTGTTAGCATGCCCTCCTACCGGAGTATCACCGAAAATTGAAATCCAGCCATTAACTTTCTGAATTATGTTTGAGAAGTAATCGGATTATAAGTACGATCAAAATGTTATTCACCGAGCATAGGAAAATCTATTATTTCATATTAGAATACTGAAAACAATTACTTTATTTTAAGTACATGCGCAAGTTATTCATTGTAATAGAAAAATTTCACCGCTAACAAGAAATTGAAAGAGGAAGTATTGAATCTGATACGAAAAAAGGCGTAATCAAAGGGTCACCAACATCACAGCCGCGATAGCGCGTTAAATATGAAAAGGGAGCCCTTTATCTCACCTGAGATGATAATGGAGAGCCGAAACTATTAAAAGTAGGGATATGAAAATTTTAGCCTTGGTCCTAATCCTGTTATGAGCACTCATTAAAAGCTATTTTTTGAGAGAAAATTGCTGGTATTTCTCTTATATTGAAGAATTTTTGAGTGAAAGATGGGACAATAATTGGTGGGAAAAGATGAAATATTTCACACAAAGCTACGATAAAGGGATTACTTGACCCAAGAAACAATTCACGACAATTTCAGAATTCTATGGAAAATTTGAAAAATTTTCAGATGATCCATCAGGTTTAAGTTTATAGCATGGTAAAAAAAAATTGTGAACAAGAATCTTTTCAGCCAAATAATTGAGTGGTTCATCTAGATAGTGAAAATAAAAGAGGGAGGCGAAGACTACACAGTTCGGAGTAGTGAGCAATTTGATAAGTATCGTTCTGCATTCTGAATATAATTTCAATTATAATTATAATCAGAACCTCATTTAGTGAGCCCGGAAATTCAGAAATAGTCAATCACTCATTGAAATATTCAGCTGGCACCGAGCTGGATTAAGCTTTCATTAATCCCAACGCTTTGTATGATGAACCGATAATTCATTAATTTTTGAAATTAACAAAAATCAAAGATGATAAGAAACAGCATAATGGAAGGTCATCAACGTCGCGGCCGCGGCGGCGCTAGTGTTAGTAGATTCCTAATCACTATCACATGTATGCATTCAAATGTCATAGCCCAGTTCACGTTCATTGTTTACATTTTTGTTTTACGGGTAATGTGAATTATAACATTAATTAATTACGGAATAAAAGTCAAATTNAGCATAATGGAAGGTCATCAACGTCGCGGCCGCGGCGGCGCTAGTGTTAGTAGATTCCTAATCACTATCACATGTATGCATTCAAATGTCATAGCCCAGTTCACGTTCATTGTTTACATTTTTGTTTTACGGGTAATGTGAATTATAACATTAATTAATTACGGAATAAAAGTCAAATTATAAGGTAAAAGGCCAGTATGAGGAGTGTGNAAAGTAAAAGGGCAGTATGAGGAGTGTGTGCTCATTCCCCGGTTGTAATTCGGGAAGTGCAAGTGATAAAAAGAGAAATAAACAACATGGGGTACGAAATAAAGCAATGTTTGGATTTATTTAACGTAGAAGTATTGGATTACATTTTTTATACTCCATGTTAGTTATTCATACTTGTGAATGCAATGTTAACCAAACATTATTTTATCTTAAACATTACGTTTGAAAATAAATTCAAATAGATTGATCAAAAACATGAAATACGATGTAAAATTTCTATAATGCCAGACAACTGTTCGATTGATTCGATTTTTTCACATGTTATCCAATTTAATGGCCGATTATTACGCAATATTTCAATTTCTGAATTACAATTGATAATCAGTTTCATTTTTTCCTGCAAATTGTCTAATACTTGAACGAATATTATGCATGTCTTGTATTCAACAGTAGCCCAATTATCTGGTTTTTTCACCAATTTCAAATTTTTTCGCAAATATTCAAATGTTATTGGGATTTGATTATTAAATTGCATTGAGTAATTATGTTCCATATTTGTTGTCAATTTGATCATATACAATTCCTTAATAATTCTATGAACTTATTGAATTTTATCCGTGTACAATTAAATTGAAATTTTCACTATATGCAATTTTAAAAAATTAATTATATACAATTGATGGACGAAAAATATGAATAATTTTCGTTTCTTAAATTTTTTATATACAAACAATTGATTGATGACTTTTAACCTATTTAACTCCCATATACTGGGCCCTGCAGATGGTTCGGTACTTTTGAAATTCTCGTGTAATCCAATAATCCATGATTGGAAATCTACAAAACAAAAAAAAAGGTTAAAAGCAAACAGAATTATTTATATCATTTAATGAAATACGTGTAGTAAAAGTGCCAGGGAATATACTAACCTCTTTTCAACTCCTTGAATTCAGTTTCTCACATTCACACTCCAATATGATAATTTTCTATGCATCATTAATTTCAGACGCCACTGGTTAATCACTCATTTACAAACTTTATTTATGTAAATCAATAGAAGGCATTTCTTTCTTGCCTATTTCGAATAAAGAATGTTAACAACTTGGCTTGCAAAACAGTATGCGCCCTACCACCCGTCCCATATATCCCCTCCAAGCAGCCAATAGTGATGTGACACTAGCGCCCTCGAGGTATTTGAAACCGGGTTTCAGGCGCATTATCGTAACCAATGTTCGGCCTCCTGG